GAAATATATTATTTTTGAAAATGGGCTTATTGAGGTTTTCTTCACTTGATATTAGAATGTCCTAAGCTAGAGAGTAATTATACATGTATATAGCAATTAAATGGGCATTTTTTCACCAAATTGGCCTGCAAATGCCAGCTCTATCTGGTTTTTCTCCTTTTGGACATGGTGGTTCCCAGAATCCTGAGAATATGAAAGGAGCTAATACTCTATAGTCATTTAATTTTTTGTCTATTCGAAGAAATTCGGCACGGCTATCATATTTGATATTATTAGGCGATTTACCTTCAATTGCTTGCATAGAATCATTAATATTTTCAAATTGTTCGACCTTATTGAATTTGTTCTCCACCTTTTTATTGTGATGGTTTCTAGATTTGCGATGCTTTGTATCTCTATGTCTTGATTTAGTTTCAGTACTTTCTCTTTTATTATTTTTTGATATTCTCGTGTCATTTTTTGTATTTTTTCTATGTTGACGTTTCAATAATTGTATGAACTTGCAATCTCTGCTTGGATTTTTTTTGCAATTTGGCATATGCTTTCGTTTTTTATTTACTTTAGGCATGATGAATTTGTCTGATTTTTTATGTTTTTTTGTACGATTGTTATGTTCACGTTTCTTAGCATTCACATTTTTATTATCCAAATTTTTATTATGCACTTCATCCAGATTTTCTATAGAAATCAATTCAGAAAATCTTGGATGTGAAGATATGTTCAAATTGTTCAAGTGCTCATGCATTGTTTTACTATGCGAAGAATTATTTGAATTATGTGCAATTTTCATCAGGTTGTTAGAATTGTTAGGAACCTTGTTAGTTTTTTCAGTCAAATTTGAGACAACTAATCCAGTCCAGCCCGAGGAAAACAGCATACACAGAAAAATTAAAATAAATTTATCCATTTTAATATTTATAGTATCCAAGAATCACTTAATATTAATAAGTATTAAATATGCACTGGTTGTTCACATTTCACATTTCCAACATTTTTTTCATTTTTTTGCAGTTAGTAGTAAATTCTTTTTTAAAATGATATTTTGAACGTTTTGCGCCTTATATTTATAATATACGGGACTTTAGTAAATGATGATACATACGAATGTTTTATCATATTGATTATATTTTAATCAGATATCGAATGATTTGGCTTTATATATGTATATGTATATACATATTATATTTTATATATAAATTTATTATCAAACTCAAATTTCACCTTTTCTATGAATTAAAATCAAATCGAGTTGATTACTTTGAGTTGAAACGACTTATTTCTTTTGAAGTAGTAATTGAGTGAGAAATTTGGGTCAACGTTTTTGCTAAAAATTTAGAATTGCTTTTGGAAATTTGGAAACTATTTGCTGTTTTTTATGCGATGATTTTGAATTTTTTTCATGTTCTATGGTAGGCAATGTTATTGGTCGTGAAGATATCAATAAAAAAATATAAATGCTTCATATGCTCCGTTCCATACATTATCTTTAATCTCACCTAGAAAATATAATTTAGTATAAAATGCAAGTTAGTTTTAATATAATTACCAATGTTTTTTCAATTTAAGAGGGTAGAGCGGTGCTTAGAAGTCAGCAGGTAAAAAGGTTCACCATCGATATCTAAAAAGCCAATAAAGTTGAGAACTTTTTCATAACAATATTTGCAAGTAGAGGTGATAAGACATATAACCAGTCGGCACCTAAATTCTTACAACGATGTTTTTTGCCATATTAGTTCATACAACATTGCTCAATTTACTCTGTCTATGGGGTAAAAAGAATCAGGTAACAAATTAAAAAAAAGAGCAAAAAACACATTTATACAATTATTATTAGTTAGTTACAATTATTAGTCTTACTGAACATAGTCAGATAGTTATTTGTTTGATATGTATTATTTGTTGGAATGCAATTGGTTTGATTTTCACAATATAATTGCTTAAAGTCAAATTGAACCTCTGTGCTCCTCAATTTACATTATATTTTGTTTAAATCTTATAAGGATAAACTAATAGGAATGTAGCAAACCAACTTCAATTTAGATAAATGCTTGTATTTTTTCTGGTTTGAAACCTTTATAGTTTTGAGATTCTGTTTATTTTTTGATTTCTTGGCATAACTATGATTCACACTTACTTCAATTTTACTCTATCATAATATATCATGAATCATTAACTGTGAAGGACACAGATATATTCGTTTTAGGAGAAAATAATTTTTGATGTGAGTAGTGTACAATATGTGTTGAACAAGCATTTTTAACTTTTATTTGCGAAATGAATCATAATTTTTAAATAAATATTGTTGACACTAAGATAAAAAATTGAAATTAATTATAAATAAGTAAATTTAATCAATGTCTTTAAAAGTTGTTTTTTAATCATGTCATTAACGATTGTATCTTCAGTCTTATCTTTAGTACTCAATGCGCAATACAACCAATAAGTAAAAATTCAGCAATTGTACGTTTCCAGAGAAATCATATTGTTTTTGTTTACATCTCTAAGACTTATTTATGGATATATGATATAATAGTTCAAAAAAGCTAATCAGGCTTTCATATCTTCCACCATTTAATAAATATTATGAAAATTTGAAAAAAATGAAAGAGGTACACAGAACGAATCCTGGTACTTTGTACAAAGAATTTTATCATAAAGATTATGCATGGTTCTATAATATATACTTATAGTTAGCAATAATTCTGATAATTTACCAGTTAGCTGGGATAAAAGTAAGTTAAATGATAGTTTGCACGCGAGAACATACTGAAATACTGTTTTTACATACGATTAATCGAAAAATCTTTCGTATTTTTCTATTACTTACAATATATATCTTGTTATTGAATCTGAAACTTTATGTTGCTTTTTACGATAGATCCATGAAAAAACCCTATTTATTAAAATAAAATACAATTTGTAAAAATAATATTTCTACAATAATTTTTCCTAGAAATTTTACCATTTATTCATATATATATATATATATATAAAGTCTGATTAAGCGTTGGATTTCTTTCAATCACAGTTTTGTATGAATGTGGCCAAGAAATACTTATACATTATCCATTTTATTAGAATCGATGTGATTTAATGATTTTTTCACAAATAATTATAAAAATATTATATTCTCATATATAATAAACAAAAAAATAATTGATTGACATTAGTGGTGTTTATTCGTTCACTTTGATTTATAAGTAATATCTTTGGCAATATGAAAACATACATACCCCAATACATATTATTTTACTTACTTTTAAACAAATTTAATGTATATACATATTAATTTCTCGACCAGTTTTCAGAATAAAATTTTCAATCTCTATATTGATTTTAATAAATTCTTCTAAAAATAACACTTAAATAGACAAGTTTGATCATATAAAGTCGGTGTTCAAGAGCTTTTTGTTTGATTATTATTTGGAATTGAAGATTTGATTTCTATTTTTATATTTGATTTATTTTCTATTTTTAGTTTTGAATTTTATCATGATCTTTCTACTAGGGTGCTACATATTCAAATTTTTCATCAATACCACAAGTTAAACTAACTAATCCTATTTGTATTTATCTCATATTTCATTTTTGACGTTGACAAACATAACTCAGTATTTCATATGAAATTTTCTCATGGCTACTGTCAAAAAATTTAAAAATTAATCCCGTAAAAAAAATCTGTCAAACATGTGAAATTAATTAAATAACGACCTACCATGAAAAAAATATGTGAAAACATAATACAAAATCAAAATTAATTAAAATTTTTGAAAGTATTTTCATGTAGTTAAATTCATCCGAAATTTTTCAATATTTGTGTGTGATTTTACTGTTGGCGTTTTTGTATTTTTCTGTTAATACATTTTAAATTTATTTTGAGGAGGTAACAAAATATGAAAATTTAAACAAGATGGGAAATAAGTTTGCAAGGTAAGGTTTCGAACGACTGTTGTAGCATAATTATATAATTTGCGTAATTATTGAGTTTTAGAATATATTAATAATATGACATATATTGCTTAATATATGTGGAGATATTTCGGGAGAGGTAATTTTCTCAAAATAATATTCTAATAGCTATTAAATAATTTTATGCTCCTCATACTTAAAATTTGCGTTTATTGGTCAGTGCATTATCTTAGTATATAATCTGGAATAGTTATATTATTATTTTAATACCATACGATATCAAAATGTATTTACTAACTTTATCTATTATCCAACAACACACAAAAGTTTTGTATGGATTATTTGCTGCTTAAAATTAATGTGAAGTTATTTTAAAGCAGTTACGCAAATTTTCAATAATTGTACTTAACGGCTAAAGTATTACTCACATTTATGCCAATTATTAAAATTTTTTAATCTAAATTTCATAGCCATTTATAAAATGCGTTTCTCTTAGAGCATTTCTCTTTTAAATCTTTTCAAGCACATATTAAACATCCAAAGTTTGTAGATCAGTTTTGCAGCATTACATTTTGAGTACAATTTGAATTCAAGTCACTTCAGACGTAATATATTTTACAATATTCGGTTAATATGAGATAAATACTATTCTTGTTTTATAAATCAATATCTTTCATTATATTATGGTTATTTTGTTGAAGTATTCTAAATTGGTTGGTTTTGTATTACTCAGTAAATTTCCTAAGTTCATAGACCGGGTCTGCATCATTGAATTGTTCATATAACAGACTGTAAAATATTTGTTGCAAAATAATACATTTTTGCAAAATTTACAATAATATGTATTATTAAGCATATGTAAAACATTTTATGTAATGTAAAACATTTTGTTACGCGCATACGTAAAATAAAAAACATGTGTGCATCGCGTCGCGACTATGTTGCAACTTCGCACGCGCATCGTATGATTTTTGCTGACAGCACTTCAATCGAAAATCGTTTATAAACACCTGCATTTGATTCGAAAAATCACAGTTCACTTCGAGTATTCTTGGAAACAACTTCCCAAGTTATTTAAAAAAACTATCAAAATGCAAGCCGTCGTTAAGGTTCTAGCAGTCGCCTGCGTCTTCCAAGCAGTGTTGGCCGTTCCATTCAAATCTGAAGTTGATGAACCTAAATTGGATGTAGTGCAACAAAATTTGATTGAAAACGAAAATAACTTGGCCGAAGCTGTCAATGCCTTAGAAGAAAGACAAGATGAACTGGAAGATTCTTTAAGGGGCAAGAAGAGCTTATACCAAGTTCCAAAGAGCTATGTACCTAAGAGTTACTCAGTAGCAGCTCCAGTGCAATCCTATCAAGCTCCTGCTCCAGCTTCTTACCAAGCCCCTGTCGCTTACCAACCAGCCCCTGCTAGCTACCAAGTTGCATCCTACTCTGCTCCTGCTGCTTCAGCCGCTTACCAAGCTCCTGCCGCTGCTCCCGCCGCCGTTTACCAACCAGCCCCAGCTGCCCAAGTTGTTTCATACCAAGCCGCTGCCCCAGCTGCTGCCTACGCCGCTCCCGCTGCCGCATACGCCGCCCCTGCTCCATCTTATGCTGCTCCTGCTCCCGCTTATGCCGCTCCTGCACCTCAAGTGACCTACACCACCTACACCGCTCAACCTCCTTGCCCTACCAACTACTTGTTCGGTTGCCAACCTAGTGTTGCTCCAGTTCCATGCAGCCAAGCTTTCCAACCACCACAAGTGCAATTGACACCATACGTCGCTCCCCAAGCTCCAGCCGTTTACAAGAAACCCGCTGGTGGTTACAGGGCTGCCGATGAAGAGAGGGAAGACATGATCAAGAACATGAACTAAAATGGAAGCGCCAAGATAGAAAAATCTCGAAACAAATAGCAAGTGGTAAAATCTATCGCAAAGAAATATTTGTAAAATAAAATCTTATTTTCAATAAGATTTTATTTTCAAAGATTATTTTTAGCGATTGATTTTTGTATCAATTATTGATCGAGGTTTTTAGGTTGAAAAGACGACGAAGACCTGGCTAGTGAATGATAATTCTAACAAGAAATTAACACTTCAGTTATTTATTTACTAATATTTATTTTCATTTTCTATCATTTTTTATTTATTTCACTTTTATACCAAAAAATACAATAAAAATGTTGAATAATATTACATCTGTGTTTTACTTCTTCAAGTATATGATTTATACAAAATAATTTACAATAGTGACCAAAACAATTTTTTTTAAAATTTCATTTCAGGATAAAACTTATTTTAATTTGTATTCACAGGTTAATCGAACGATATTTAATTATTTTTTGTTTCATATAGTAAATAGTAATTTGTAACTTTAAAATTTCAATTATATTGACCTTCATGCGTATCTCTCTTCGTTTCTGCAAATTTTTATTTTGTCAGAAATCGAAACAACCCTTTAAACTGTCTAATATGAATTTAAAATATATACATATTACATACGCATACATAAATTAAAAAAAAAATTGATTTATATTAGAATAATGTGCATAGATTTTTTCTTGTATTAATGGTCCTCGCAAGTATTTCTTGTCCACATAATTTTTATATTCTATTAAACGACGTGTTAAATATTTATTAAAATGTATTATATTTATTTTTAACTATATTTTGCATTTTCATATTCTAATTTAAACCTTTTTTTACAAATTAATATGTTTAGCGATGCAGTACCTGATGCCCCTTTCACTTGGAAACAATTTTCTTAGCAACTTTATTTTGTAATGATAATGCACAAGGATATTATTGACAAGGATTTTAATTTAAACTTTGAAAATGTTCTAAAAACGTTATAATTTTGATTTAATAAGACAGAGATCATTTGTTCGAGATTAATTACGTAATCAAGTTCTAAAGATTCACTATACCTATCTTAACTTTTACTTTGATAAAAGCATTCATATAACTCTTTCAAAATCTTTTGATATTATTTTAAAAATAATAAATTATTTTAGAATTTAAAAATCATTTCAAAATTTTTAAATACTCTCACAAAAGTTTTTGCGTTAATTTCTCTTTTTTAATTTTCTAATTTTCAATTTTTTTCATATTTTAGAATATTTATAAATTTATATTAATTAAGAAACTATTATAATTACCTAATTATCGAAAAACTTATGATTTTATAAATGTTTAATATATTTAAAATCGTAAACAATTATATACAATCGTATATCAAAGAATAAATAAATATTCATGTAATAATAGATGTTCGGAAAATTTTTATATAATCTTATTTAATATTATCGATATAGTTTTTTTTATCATTTTTTTTAAATTTCACCAACATTTATATAAATTCAATGTTGTCTTTGAATGAACATTTTAATAACTTTCTTCAGCATAAGTTATTAAAATTGCAAAAATTGTTAATATTTGTTTTTAAGATATTGAAATGATGATAATTCATTATATATTATATTAGAAAGTGATTATTTTTTACTTAGTAATTAAATCATTTTGGGATCAAAAGCAAAAATAATGGACATAAGTATACATACTTTTAATAAATAAATTATAAACTCTACAAAAATAATTAATTACTTATCTTAATTCTAATTAATTAAATACCTATATATCGATAGGATATCATTCAATTTCATATCGATAGGATATATAGATAAGAATAAAACAGAATGTTTATAATAAATAATTTATTTTATTCTATGAACGAATGGGACTTTTGGGTATATTTTTGGGGGAAAAATACATAATAAATACATAAATATAATTACATTAATTATATATCATTATATACACATCTATATAAAACTACATACTAAAAATATTCTAGTGGTAGTTTATTCATCTTTTTTCCAACGTTGTATCTGAAAACAATAATTTGAATATAATAATAATATTATAAAATTTTACTTGCATTACTTAATTTATAGTAATCATGATATTATTTGAAGATTTACCTATAAGATATTTATTCCTCGGTATCGTTTTCACCATCTGCGGCTCTGAATGCGTATCCACTAGCAACAGTTTTCTTGGCAGGAGCTTGGTAAACCACTTGAGGTTGAGGTTGTTGATATACAACTTGTGGTTGAGGTTGATAAGGTGTCAATTGCACTTGTGGTGGCACAAAACTCTGGGAGCATGGAACAGGTCTAACGTGTGGTTGGCAACCAAACAGATAGTTTGTTGGGCATGGTGGTTGAGCGGCATATGTTGTATATGTCACTTGCGGTTGTGCTTTAGTTGCGACAGCAGGAGCTCCATAGGAAGCGCCGCCTGCGGATCTTCCATAGCTGAGGTGGGAACCTCCGTGACCATATGAAGAAGAGTGTCCTCCATGTCCGTAGGATGAGCCACTAGAGTAACCGTAACCTTGTTGTTGGTTGTTTCCAAACAACTTTTTCTTTTTCAATAATAAAGTTCTAGAAGCTCCCAAGTTGATGTCAATATTGTCCATATCATCTAAATCGATCGTACGTGCACCTTCCTTAGTTTTGCTATCAGAGGCTTCAACATTTTCTTGATTTTCATTTTCAGCTTCCTTGTATGCCTTTACTGGTCCTGCTGAATATTGTGTTGGGACTTGCAAATGGAATGTTGGGGCGCTTGGTGCAGAGTAAGTAACCGGTTTTCCATATGATTGATGTACGGCGACGGGTGCTGCAGGAGCAGAGTAAGCTGATCCAGATGCGGAATAAGTAGGAGCAGGACCAGAATATGCAGGAGCAGCAGCGGAGTATCCTGGAGCCGGTGCTGGGTACGAAGCTGCTGGGGCGGAGTATGCAGGTGCCGGGGCAGAATAGGATTGTGCTGGCGCAGCCTGTTGTGTATATTGCGGTCGTTTCGAAGCATATCCATTTGAGGACGCTGGTGCAGAGTATGAAGAAGCGCTAGCTGGAGCGGAATAACCAGAACCTGCAGCAACTGGACTAGAATAGGAGCCTGCGGCAGCTGGAGCAGAGTATCCAGCGGAAGAAGCAGGAGCAGAGTATCCGGCAGAAGAAGCGGGAGCAGAATACCCAGCCGAAGAAGCGGGAGCAGCGTATGAAGCTGGCGCAGGAGCGGCATAAGCTTGCTGAGCAGTTCCAGAGTAGCCATGGACGGGTGCTGGATATTGTGGTTTAGCTCCATATGATCCACTGGCAGCACCGTGGTAAGTTCCAGATGGTGCAGGTGGTGCGGCGTAAGATCCAGCTTGAGGGGCGGCATGATAGGCTGGTGCTACAGCTGGAGCTGCAGCGGGACCTCCATAACCTCCACCGTGGCTTGAATAACCTCCTGCAAGACCAGAATAAGATGGACCTGAAGCCGTGTACGAAGCTTGCCCTCTTACAGGGCCGTATTTATTAGATGCCGCTGGAGCAAAAGATTGAAATGCACCGTAAGCTGCCTTTTTAGCTCTATCAGAATCTTCACCAGAGTTTTCTTGTTCTTCGTCTACTTTAGCCACTGAATTTTCTGCCTTAGCGCCTTCATGATCAGTTGTTGATTCCGTTGAATCTTGTTTTGTAACTTCTTTTGAATCTTCCGATGAAACAGGCGAAGCTATCGCCGAGCTCAAAATGCTCAATACTAAACACAAAGCGATAAAGGGTCGCATTTTGTTGTTGCTTGATGGTCACTCAATTCCGCACTGATAAAATTCGCTGCATTTTTCAAATATATAAAGCAAAGGCTTCATTGTTTAGATCAGCGGTTTTCAGAAAAAGTTCAATGTATGAGTACATATATTGTACATTAATGTGATTGAACTTATTGATTGTATTACGAAATTCTAAGTAGGCAGATTTAGACACGCGCTGATTAGTTTCCAATCATTGCTGATTCTTCATAATTATTCAAATACATAGTTGTATCCAAATTCTTATGCTCGGTACAAGAAATAAACTTATGCGTGCTTAATTATAAAAAACTTTTATATACATATAATACATTTATCAAATATTCACTCGAATTAATTTTCAGAACATATATTATGTAAAAATTGACACTATTTATTCATAATTTATTTTAATTATTATTGATATTTTTTTTCTGCGCAAAATATGTACTCATCTTGAATATTGTACGAAGACGTATTTTCTGTAAAAAATTATATTTTTAGTATTGGTGTAGCACAACTGTCATTTTAATTTTTTTTTACACTTTTACGAAAGCTTTAATAAAGTATGAAATAAATTTCTGTAATTATTTATAATTGCAGTAGGCAAAGAAATAATAATTTTGTACCGTTACTACGAAAGTTTTTTGTAAGTTTTGTAAGTTGTTCAAATACTTTTGTGATCTATAAATCTTTTGTTACACTTAATAATTTCTGGAAAATGAAATTTCGCGAAACTTCAGAAGGAAGGCATATTTTTATTTTCAACCACAAATAAAAGATTTTTTAATGATAATAATAAAATCTAATTACTATACAATATTTAATTTTAATTAAATATCTTTGATCAAGATAATTTATTAAAATAATAAATTGGATCAACTTTTACTAATAAGCAGAATTATTTATGTTTAAATAAAAGTCCTCGGAAGTTAAAACTGACATTTAAATGTATTCTGTAATAATTTTATTATAAAATTTCAAAGATTGACATTTGTGAGATATTATTTTTATTTAATGAAAGTTTGACAAAATTAATTACCAACATTAGTAAAGTAATTTAAAAATGTGATACAAATAGAACTTTGATTAATTCGTAAGCTTATCTAATCATAATTTTAAAAAATTAGTGAACTGTTTATCGAGTATCGATAAAAAGTTCAAAGATTTTATATAATATCGAAGATAAAATATAACAATAAATTAATTTCTTTTAAAATAATATTTATAACGAGTAGTAAGATTGTTATTATCGAGAAATATTTATAAAGGATATAAATGTAAGAAAACTCATTTCACTCAAGAAAACTCAGAAGTGCTCATTTTAAAGTTTATATATTTTTCATTGCGATTTTTTATAATTTGTTGTGCAACTGATCATGTTTTTATGGTCATTTCTACTTAATTATTTATTTTCTGAAATAAAAAATCAATTTTCAAATAATTTTTTGTGAATAGTAAATTTATTTAAGATAATAATAATAATAATAAAAATAATATATAATTTTCTTTTATATATCACTATATTGTAATAGCATGTATTTATTTAAATATTTTCAAATATCAGAACAGTTGTGAAAATGATAGTCTTAATAATAATGAACTCTTCGAAAACACAATTTATTTTTACACAGTTTATTTTTAATATATTAACTTTGTCAAATATTATTATTACTTTTTTGAAAATCTGTCTTATATTTTTTATGTGGGAATTCTTATTTATTATTTATTGAATAATGAGCAATTAAATATTTAGAAAGTTGCGACTTTTCTGTTAAAACCATGATATTTCTAGTTGAAAATCATATTCCTCAATTCGCGTTTATTAAATTGAACAAAATATTACATTTATATTCATCATTAGTTTTTTTGTTTAATTTTTTGATAATGAAATATATATTTTCTGTATCGCCAGATCATAGAAAATTTCTGTATATTTTAATAGTAAATACATCTATGTTTCATTTTTTTACAACAGCATTTATAAGATTTTTACTTAACAAGATCATTAAAATGATAAATACGGTATGCATCATTTCTTAAAATCCATGTATTTCTACGAAATTTTATATTTGGAATAATATGCAGAAATTAATAGATATATTTTAAAAATTTGATTTGAATTATATTATTAATGGTAATCAATTTGCGAACAAAGTTAAATAATAAAAATACTCTTGTTAATTATTATTTATTTTTTTAATTTTGGATACGTACACTTCGATTTAATATATAAATAAGCTATATATAAATACATAAATACTATAAATAAATTAAACATAATATCCATATTGCGTTTCGTCATTCTTCGTTCTATATATCCAGTAATCAATTTTTTGAAGATTTATTCTTGTTTAGAATTGCCACATTTGTGCTCTTATTGGTGCGTAATTCATGTGTTTGGAGTGTTTATGAGCTGAAAAATATAATAATTAGGTTAATTTTTGGTAAAATTAAAACCGTACTTTTTCAATTTCGTGCTGATTGCAAAAGAAAAAAGCGAAAACAAGGTTTTGTGAATAGTTTGCTTGGAATGGTGCATAAGCTTATATAGAAATATAATATGAGAGTTTTTGTGAAACTATAAAATATAAAGAAAATAAAAAGAAATCAAAACTATTTTGCTACAGAATGTTTAATAATAAAAATGTAAATAAATAACAATAAAAAAATATTTAACAATAAAAATGTTTTTTTACTAAGTTCACTAAAGCAAGATTAGAGTATATATAGTTTATCATACCGATATTATCGCTTTATCATCCCGAGCTGAAATATGAAATTTAAGCAAAGACAGTGTGCAGTCATAGATACCTTGATTTGGTAATACCTTGTCCATCCGCGGAAGTGGCTTCTGAGCCTACTTTTTTATCCTCAGTGTTATTATTACCGTTATTACTACCAGAGTTCTGTTCATCTGTCAATTTTTTCTGTCCCTTTTGATTTTGAGAAGCCAGTTCATTCATTCTTGCTATGGTATCCATTGCCATTTGATCCTGCTTGATCTGTTCGATATTGCTTAGTGTGGATTTAGGTTGAACTGGAAGCCCTTCTGGATTTGATCTGTGATAAAATATAGCTTATAATGCCCATAATAAAAAATTATCATTTATTTGTATTATTTATTTGGTAAGATGATGATAAGTTCATTAAATTTGATTTTAATTTTTGAAAGCAACAATTTGCTATATTTTTTAATAATAATAATATACAATACATATTACCTTTCCTTTGTTTGATTGGTTTCTGGTTGATTCGTTTGACCTTCTTCGGCATCCCTATAAATAGAAACTTTTCCTGGGCCATATGTCGGTTGATATGTCGCTAAACCAGTAGCTTGTGGTAGAACCTGAACAGTTCCTTGTGGCTGGGCGAGTGGTGTCACTTGTACAGTTTGCGGTTGGAAAGACTGCGAACAAGGGACAGGTCTTATGCTTGGAGCACAGGAGAATAAATAATTAGTTGGGCATGGAGGTTGTGCTGTGTAAGTGGTATATGTTTGGGGTTGAGAGTAAACAGGAGATACTACAGGGGATGGGGCTGGTGCTACTTGGGTATAAGCAGCCGAACTGGGTTGAACAGCGGCAGGAGCTGAATAAGCTTGGGCTTGAACTGGTGCGGTATAAGCTTGAGATTGGACGGCAGCGGCTTGATAAGCTGCTGGAGCACTAGCTATAGAATAACTTGGTAGAGCGGGTAAAGTTTGAATTGCGGGATAGGCAGCAGCAGCGGGTGCTGCATAAGTTGCAGCTGGAAGAGAATAAGCAGCAGAAGGTACTGAGTAAGCAGCCGAAGCGGCGGGGAAAGCTGCTGCACTTGCACCATAGGCAGCTGATGCTACTGAGTAACTTGGTAATGCCGGAGTTTGATAGGCTAATGAAGAATAGGCGGGTGCTGGCAAAGTAGAGTAAGCTGCGGGAGCAGGTACGGAATAAGCTGCAGAACCTTGCGTATAGGTTGATGCTTGGGTATAATGTTGAGTTGGTTTATACCTGAAATGATATTAGATTAGAAATCTACATCGTGAATTATATTTTATATAAAAAAACTAAAGTCTATACCCTGCAGCTACTTGATTTGCTACGACGAAGCTTGGTATAACGGACGTTGACCCATATGCCACTTCAGCAGTTCTGTAACCGCTGTTGTGAGTGCCCCCATGTGTTCCGCCTTTCTTTTTGTGCAACACTTTGTGAACAGATCCTAAAGTAATTTATAACCTAATTATTATTTAAAAACCCAACATTTCCAAAAATGATGTAGGTATATTTACCTAAAGCTTCTTCAGCAGTGTTGGTTTGATCTTCAGCATTATTGTTACCATCAGCTTCTCTATAACCGCTTGATGTAAAGTGGGCAGGTCCAGCGTGAACTCCTACTGATCCAAAATGTCCATAACCTTGTGCGTATGGTGATGGAGCCGAGAAATGAGCTGGTGCTTGGCCATAAGGAGCGGATTGGAAATGTAAGTCTTCAGAATGAGGGCCAACGCCATACTGAGCACCAGCAGGCACACCGTATTGACTGGAAGCAGCACTAGATCCATATTGACCAGCAGCTGCACCGTATTGACCAGTGGAAATACTTTGATGACCCGTTTGTGACGATGCTGGACCGTATTGTGAACCAGCTCCTGGTGCGCCGTATTGACTTCCTGATGATTGGGCGGCTACACCAGGACCGTACTGAGAATGAGGGACTGGGACGTTGGCTCCGTATTGGTTACCTTGAACCTGTTGGGGTCCAGCATAACCAGAACCTCCTACGCCTTGTTGATAAGCCGCAGATACAGGGCCTTTGAAGGCTCCACTGCCGGCTGGAGCTTGATATCCAGCACCCTATTTAAAAAAGACACAATTAATAACTAATTGTTTATATACCTATATACAAGTATATACACATATGTAACATATAAAACAAAACACTTGCAAATAGAAATTTAAATTATGCAATGACCAAATACCTTCCCAATAACGTGACTCAATTAATTGTATAATATT